TGTCAGTATAGTGGGTCTCGGGGAAAGAGACAGAATGGCTAATGGGTGGTGCAGTCAGAACACACACGTTTAAGTCCGCTGTCTTACATGCATGTGGTCCTGGGTACTGCCGACAGTGAAGAGTACCATCAAAGAAAGATTCCCCCCCCCCCCAACAAAAGTTTTACCAGAATGTGGCAGAGACCGAAGTGAGCAAATGCTTTTGGCAAAAGGATACCACTAGACTTGGTCGATACAGGGTTGCCCCAAACTTTAAATTTGTAAAAAAAAAAAAAAAAAAAGGGGGGGGGCCAGTATCTGCAAAGTGCAATAAAACAAGGGATGCCTGTGCTAGAACTAACACCTTGGGGTGCAGTGCGTCTGCTGTTCACCCCTTCGGGGAATCAAGTAAACCCTCTCGAGCAGCAAGTAAGAGAACGTTCCCTCTATTAACTTCCACTAATGGCTCCCTACCCTCTGTTCCACTTTGCTCTGGGGGACATGCTTGCATGTAGGTCCTTGTATCTGTTCTCTGAGCCTCCTTCATGGTGGTATTGCTCTGGCTGGTGAGCCGTGTCTTCCATGTTATCTTTTGGGTCACTAATGCAGATCTCTGTTGATGAGCTGAATTTTTAAATTCAAGAAATCAGGTTTTTGTTTCAAATTCCAGAAAGTCTTTTTTCAGTGCTCTATTTAGACATCCTTGAAAGGTCTTACGACTTGGATGTTAGGGTTCTCTTTAGATGCTTCCGATGGCTCAACTTCAGCTGCCGGCCACTGGTACCAGGGCTCCACCTCGGTCTGTCTTCCTCTTATTGCCGTGTGCTAGGTTTTTTCTTTGCTACTTCACGCTCACCGTCTTTGGTCTGTCCAGTAGTCACATCAAGTTGGTGGGGCTTTGTGGCAGGCACCGAAGTCTCTGCTCTTTGGGATCCAACTGGCAAACACTAGCTGCACAAGGAGGGTCTTCCCCAGTGTAAAGAAATCTTGACCATCTGCCAAAACTAGGACAAGCTCAGCGTCAGGGTGCCGCTCCCCGCCCTGGGTCTCTAGAGCCCTTCTGCAAAGGGCTTCACACATCTCTTCTGGCTGAGCCCACACTGGGAGCCTCAGCATGCTGGTCTTTTCCCCCCCTCAGCTCCCAGGCAGCACCATCTGCCACAGGATTAGGACTCAGAGATCCCAGGTACTGCGAGCTTCCCATTGATGATGATGAGGATGCATATGCAAGTTTTCATACTTTATCCTGTCCCCTTCTTCTGAATCCCACAAGTTAAAATCATTTGAGGGGAAGCCCTTTTTCAGTTAATGGTAAGACTGGATATAATACATCAGCTTAAAAGAAACTACTTGCAGAGAGCAGTTCAACATGCTTTCACAAAGATGCGGGGTTTTTTTCCTTCTGACTAGTATTCCGTTACTAAATCTCTAGGCCCAGGAAATAATTTTTAATCAAAAAAAGGTTTATGAAGACCTTCATTATTTATAAAGTAAAAAACGGCAAACAACCTAATCGTCCATCCCTGGGAGAATGGCTAAGTGAATGAGGGACCCTCACCTGATGAAACAGGCATTCATGTCTTTGAAAATCATAACCTAGAAAAAGGCTTCAAGTCATCTCTGAAGTAGGTAAAGGGCACACGTTCGTGTGTATTGTATGTGTCCACCTGTGGATTTATCGTGCAAAAAGGAAATCGGCCCAAATGCTCCCCGTGGTTAGGTATGGGTAGTTTATGGGGATTTTTTTTCACCCTCTTCCTCCTTTATTTTACTACTTCTCAAGTGTAGTAGGTAATAAAATGGCGTTGAAAAGATTTTTTGTAAACCATATATGCCGCTAACAGGGCAAAGGACTGAGCATTGATAAATTGTGACATGTCAATGGCTTCTTGAGAAGCAGCTTGAAGTGCTCATTGACTGTTTTCTGGAGCTTTAAACTCCATCCAGCCCTCACTGGATCAATTACTGACTCAGAAGTCTTTTGTGAGGCTATTTACCAGAGTTTCTCCCTGGCATGACAGAGGATATGGTAATTACTAGAACAAGGTCTGACCTTGGGCAAGGAGAAAGCCCAGGTCTACCACACACCCCAGTGTAGCTCCCCAGAGACGCCTCGTCACACTGTGGGGCGGAAACTCCAAATGACACCTCTGAGTGCCTGAGTACCAGGGGACAGATGTGGAATTAAAGCTTAAAAACCATCCACTGAAATGAGGTTTGCAGATCTGGGCGCGTTCACATTCCCCTTGGCACCCTCCACCCTGCCCTCACTCCCTGCCGTGCTCCACGGGGTGGTCCCCACAGCCCCGTCCCAGGAGTCTTCCGACATGGGGGAAGTTACATCTAGACAAATACATTTTCTTTTAAAAGTTTCTCTGCTGTTACCAAATTATTTATAACGTTTCCAAGTTGTTTACAACAGCTTTGTAGAGCAATGTCTAGACCGAGGCTGCCCCATTCCCATCTGAAACCAAGTGTATCACATTTTTCCATGAAATGTCTGCAGATGGGCTTTATGTACACAGCGAGGAAATGCTGGTTGCCTTTCCCCAGGCAACAGAATCCCAGATCTTTCTGTGGCCCAGGGAGAGGTAAGCTGGACTCAGCCAGGGGTCTTCAAGCTTACTTACTCCATTTTACAGGTTTACCATCCTGCTAAATAAGCTGATCCCAGGGGTGCTTGGCTGGCCCAGTCAGTTAAGTGTTTGCTTTCAGCCTGGGTCACGATCCTGGGGGTCCTGAGATCAGGCCCCATGTCAGGTTCCCTGCTCAGCGAGGAGTCTGCACTTCTCCCTCTGCCCTCCCCACTGTCCCTGCTCATGGTCAGCCTCTCTCTCAAATAATATCCTAAAATAAATAAATTGATCCCATATCTGGGAATCCTAAGAAACTAACTAAATTAAAGAAGGAAAATAGTAATCACATGAAAAATTTCACAAAAGCCTTATTTCTCAGTGGATTCCATAAATGCCCAACTGGGGGAATGGTGATTAATCTATGGTCAGCCCACTCGATGGAAAAACCTGTCCATCATTTAACTGTTAACAGTATGAAAAGTGTTGATAATTTCACTTAAAGCAGTTCTCAACAAGGACAAGTTTGCCAACCGGGGGACATGGAGCGATGTCTGAAGATAGTTTGGTTGTTATACAAGGTCCGGGGATGCTGCTCAACAGTCCAAATGCAGGGGGCAGCCCCCACCACAAAGGATGATCTGGCCCCAAATGTGAAGAATGCCAGAGTTTAAAAAAGAAGCTGGACACATGGATTTGTATTATTATTACACTTACATAAAAAAGGCATTGGCCTAGGAAGAGAAGGAATCAAACCAAATGCTTACTGGATCTATTCATCTCTTCCCCCAAATTATAAGACTGGATAGTAGGCACAATCCGGGTGTTGTGTGTGTGTGTGTGTGTGTTTAGCCATTTACACAAAATAATGTATTCTGGCTTAGGTCTTTTTAATGGACTTAAAGTCTTGGGCATTCTCACCTAGGACTTGACAGCTAACTGAGTTGTCCTTTCAGGACCGAATATTGCTATCACAGTAAGAATCAAGAAAGGTGATTTTTTTTTTTTTTTGGATCCATCATTCAAGGTTCGAGTGACTATTCACTTCATATGGAAACATTTATTTTGACTAAGTCTAAAGCCACGGACATGTCAGATTTGTTTCAGAATGGAAAACTTTGCATTATCCATCGCCTTATGCTTTCAAGACACAACTTTGTCATCAGGAGCCTATCTTCTACCAACAGAAGTGATACCTCTGGCTGTCACCGAGGTTCTTTGGCCACCAAAGAACTGTGCCTTTTAAGTGTTGCTTCCTGCTTTTGCTTTCTGTCTTTCCTTATCTTTGCAACCTCTTCCATTTCAATGTTGATAAAATGCTTTAAAGTGGAAAACTAGCAAGGTTGCAAAAACTGAATGTAAGGCAGACAGCTATGCAGAATGTTCTCTCCTCTGAGTCAAGTTCATGAATTTTTACTGCACGGACTATGGCTACAGCTGTTAAAAGGCATCTCTACCCCTGCCATCTCCCTTCCCCGTTGGATGGTTCTCAGCTCTATTCTGGAAGTTGCCAAATAAGCAACTTCCAAATCCCTGTGTAGTTCTTAGAGCCAAACAACAAGTGAGAGGCTGTGATTCCTCTACCCAGAGAACAACCGGGAAGAGAAAAGAAGATGCATATCCAGGTACAATGACCAAGGCCACATCAGCCCCTGGGGTCCAGAACCATGGTTTTTCTAGTTTATCCAAAGAGAAGTGGGGTGCCCACACACTCACCCAACCCATGCTGAGTTTTGTGGTAGGGAAATGGAAAGGTCTTTGGATTGGCCACATCATGGGGTCTTGCAAATACACATGCCAAGTGGGTCCCATTCTGTGGGAGGGGCTATCAAGAGGATTGTGCAGCTCCAAAATCACATATCCAGATAGTCTCCCACTGTCAACCCGAGACCTGAACTATCCCAGCTTGGTGCTGCGTTCAATTGAGGCCAAGCCCTTCCCCCACCAACCCTCCCCAAACTGGTTCATCAAAGGAGAGACCATGTATCTTCAAGGTCTTGACAAAAGGACCAAGGTGGCAGGCTCCTCCAGGAGCAAAGAGAAGGACAAAAGTAGTGCCCATCCCTATGAACGTGTTTCCCCAGCACAGGCCACAACAAGGCCTTGGTGGATGCTCTCAGCCCTTCTAAGGGACTCCCAAGACCATTAGTGGGGGGAAAAGCACCCAGGAAAGATGAGCTTCTCTAAAAGAGCATTATCTTGCTTGACTCTACTTGCTGAAATGAAACTATACGGAACTTCCCAAGAGCTTCAGCTTTCCAACTACATGACCTACTCAAAGAATCATATGGCATTCTCCAAGGAAGGAAGGATGCTGGAAGGAAAAACCTGGGACCACGGAGGAATTCTTTTACGACGTGGCTTGTCCCGCTAGTGATTTCCCAACGGGTTTAAGTCCATCAGCCAACCATACCCATAGGCCATTTCCACCCCACCAGCAGAGACAGCTCAGGGAACCCCAACTGGCATTTCTTCACTCACCAGGACTGGCTGCATCTCACAGAAAACCAGGAGGGAAGCCAGCTCGATGTCTTCACTGTACCCGTTCTTCAGTGGAACAGATCTGAATCCTGCAGAGAATGGAAAAGCAATGCAAATACAGGCCATTAAAGTCAGACCTTAGCTTTCTTAGGGTACCCAGGGATCGCATGTCCAGTGCCAGGAGCAGGTAAGCTGGTGGCTGACATTCTGGAAACCAGAGGTCCCTTCTTGATGGCTCGGGAGAGGGGCTCCAAAATGCAGCCCCAATGGATGGGCCCACACAGAGAAGTGCAGTTAAAGATCTCAGCCATGTAGAAATGGAAATCATTCACTCGAAAGAAATCAAAATGTATAGAACATCACACATTTAGAGGGACTGCAGCTGTGGTTCAGTTCCCTAAGTCCGCCGGAGGCCAAAAGACTCACAGGAGTAATGCACCCTTGTATCCCCTCCTCCATGTCTGCCTTTACAAAGTGTAGGATCGGGGGGTGGGGGTGGGGGGCACTGTTTTATCCTGAAAGATTTCCAATAGGAGGAAATCTGTTCCTTGGCAGTCCATAGCAGTATTGATCCTCCTCTGAAAGCTTTTCTCTATTTATAATTAGGACACTCTTTTAAGTGTTTCTTATTATTTAGGGGGGAGGGTTGAGTTAGAGCTGATTTTCCCCTCATTAAGTAATGTTTAAGACGACACATCTCAAAAGTTGGTTGATTTGCTTGTTTTAATTTACTCTAAACAAATACATAGTAAAAACTGAAGTCTCGTTCCTACCTGCTCATAATCCCTTCTTTCAGAAGGAGCCACTTTGAACAGTATCTCCCCAAGATACTATCTTGAGTTTAAGTCACTAATAATAGTAATGTATGGTTTTCATTTAACATTGTATCTTGGAGATGATGTGGCCCTAGTTTGTCTCGAAAGCTTTTTATCTGCATTCTGTCTTCTGATTCTCCCAGACAAGCAATGCCTGAATTAGGGCACTCACACTGTACCCTCTGTGTCTTCCACCACCCAGGTTTTGGCTTGTCCTGTTGTTATTATTACTTCTCTTGGAGAACCTTTAACAGTATCACTTGACTAATCCCTCTCTCCCTACCCACTAGGTTCAGGTGAGGAAGTTGATGTGCTTATTGCAAGCCCACACCTCCTCTCTCCTTCCTTCCCCTAATTTGGGTTAGCTGAATTATTGTCTCTACAAGATACTGCATGTAAATACCGTTGACCCTTGAGCAATGCAAGTTTGAACTGTGCAGGTCCACTTTATACACAGATTGTTTTCCAATAAGTATGGTAATGTAAATGTATTTTCTTAACATATTCTCTCCTCTAGCTTACTTTAAGAATACAGTATAAAATACAAAGTATGTGTTAATCGACTGTTACAAGGCTTTTAGTCAGCAATAGGCTGTTAGTAGGTTTTGGGGGAGTCAAGAATCCTAGGTGGCTTTTTGACTGCTTGAGGGATGGACATCCCCAACCCCCACATTGTTCAGGGGTCAGCTCTATTGTGTTTTTGTAACCGTAATTCTTCCACAAAGGGAGACTTGGTTATAAAGTTTTCAAACATACAGCAAAGCTAAGGTAATATTACAAGGAACACTTATATACCAGCCACCTAGATCCTACCATTAACCTTTTACTGTGTTTTTTTTAATCACATTTATCCATTCCTCCATCTAGCATACAGGTGTATATATATTTCAAAGTGAGATGAATACATCTGTACACTTCCTCCTATATACGCTGGCACGCATCTCATGAGCTGGAGCTCAATACTTGTTTTCAGTGTCCTTCCGATTGAAAATTTGTGCATTTCATTGTAACTTTCAAATGTCCAGTGCTCGCCACCTTTTTATTGGACTTCTCTATCAGTGTTTTTGTTGACTAACCTTGTTCTCTCATTTTAATACCACCTCACGAGACATATAGTCCTCAAATGGCACATACTTGAACTCATCCATTGAGTGACAGTTTGGGTATAAAACTCTCAGGTCAAAGCTTTCCCCGGAGAGTTTTGAGGACATTGCTTTCCATGAATAGTGAAGTTTTCTGACCTATTCTCCCCTTGTAGGTGAGGTGATTTTTCTTGGCTTGTTTGCTGGTCCGGTTTTTTGCCTGGATACCTACAGCATTCCCGCAGTCTAGCCTAGTGCTCCTCCAGCTTTAATGTTACGGGAATCTTATTAAAATGCAGATTCTGCCTAGGGACTGGGGTGGGGCTGAGATTCTGCATCTCTAAGGGCTGGTCGGGGGACAGTGTAGAAGAAGTCTGTCTAGTTGTTGATCGACTGTTCTAGACTGCTGGGCGCTCCGTGGTATCTCAGATGGCCCCAATACTCCAATGACGTGGCAGTGCCCTTTTGCTTAGAACCAACACTCAGCAGGTGCCTCCAGATTTGGAGAAGTGAGCCCCATCCCCACGTCCCTCCTTTCAATGGCCAGGTCTCATTTCATGAGCGGCCTTCACACATCTTGGGGTTAGGGTAGAAAGGTGTTGCCCAGTTTCACCAGAAAGTTTGGTTCTGTGTTATCCTTGTTGATTTGGGTTGTGTCATAGATGAAAGGGAAATAGAGACCTCTTTTGAAGCATGGTCAGTATTTTGGCTTATTAGGAGTAGGGGGAGGCCTGCAGAGTACGAAGAAGGTGGAGTGTGCAGTGAGACATTCTTGGGTCTGCAGCCCAGCTCTGGTCCTAAAGGTGTGACCTTGAGCAAGGTAATTAACATCTCTAGGCCCCAAAACGCTCATGTTTAAAAAGGAGAGATGACAAAACCTCTTTCACAGGACTGCTACAAGGATTAAAGAGTTTAAGGCACAAAACACAATAAATGATGTTTTCCTTCCTTTCTGAGCTCCATCTGGCTCAAAAGCTTAAGTGCATCCCTAACGACAATGGGAAGAGTGTATTTGTGAGTTCAGAAGGGTCCCAATGCCTTATGCGAAATTTCACTCCTTCCCTGATTATGGATGTGCCAGGCCTTGCTGGAAATTGCACAGGAACGAGACAAGGTCCTTACCATTCTGACGGCTGGGGAAGGGTCACATTTTTCATCATCTATGACATATTGTTCTTTCAAAAAACAAAAGATTTTATTGATCTGAGAGAAAGAGAAAGAGAGAGGAAGAAAAGGAGAGGGAGGGAGCCCAACGCTGAGCTCTATCCCAGGACCCTGAGATCACGACCTGAGCCAAAGGTAGACGCTTAACCGACGGAGCCACCCAGGTACTCCTATTCTTTGTATTATAAATCTCCAAGCTAACTCTTAGCATTTTTTAGATTAACGGACACAATTTGGCTGGTAAGGTAAGGGAGGGTTCATCAACTCTGACCTCTCTCCAAGGCATGAGGAGCAACTACAAAGCTCACATCCCTTGTCCTTCAAGAGGACATGGTTACAAGGTCCTGACAGCAGAGCAGGACGAGCCCAGGGGAGGTGGGGTAAGAAGACACAGTTACCATAGAAAGAAATCTATCTTAAGCTTTGTTTGTCTGGTATTGTAAAAGGGCACATTACAGAATTGCAGCTTTGCAGCTGGGTTTAAAGTACCTGATGGAGTGGGCAAGTTAACCAAGAGGGGTTGCCAAATATCACACTGTGGGGACTTACACGTGAATACTATATCTTCATAATGTTCTCTAAAAGTTCATCTACTCCTGCACTTAGGAATTTGTTTCCTGGATGGTAAGATGAGCAGCCGAGCTCAGTCCTCTCAAAGTGCCCGCTGAGGAGCTGGCAAAACCTGCACCTTCCTGCCCAACCCCCATCCACAGGGGGAGCCGAGCGCCCAGGAACGGGCCCAGCGACCTGCATTTTCTAAGTACCTGGCTAGCTGGGCAGGTACCGGAAATGATCAGATTTAGGATACTAGGAAAGGTAGAAATTTAGGGAATATCTGATACAATTCAAGTTTAGAAAAAAAACAAACGAAACAAGACACAAGGTTTCCAAACAACATCAAGAAAAAAGCCTATATTGGTATATAAATCACTAAAATGAGTGATCTGTTTCTCTTGAAAAATGATCCTTGGGGAACAGTGACCTCATGAGGAGTCCAGAAGGATCTATGATCTTATGGCTCATGCCTCAGAAATGCTAAGGAAAGGGGCAAAGAGAATTCAGCATCCACTGAGGGCCTGTTTGTCAAACGTGACACACACAATCTAGCAGGAGAGTAAAAGCAGAGCAACTACACAAGATAAGGGCAGCCACATTTACAAAGCAGCATCAAGTTCATGTGTCCCAAATCTCCTCCCTGGGGGGGGAGGGGGGGGAAGGGGTCTATCTTACTGCATTGGAGGGGATGGGACTCAGAGAGCACATGTGCATGCCAGAGCGAGCACGAGCGGGGTGAGAGGGAGAAGCAGGCTTGATCCCAGGACCCCGAGATCATGACCTGAGCCACCCAGGCACTCACAAATGGAGATTTATTAACCATTCCATGGGAAGAGGCAGATCTGAGACTGCTCAGAGCCCTTTTCTTCCCACCCGGGCCCAGTGCCGGCCCGGCAGAGTGGGAGATGCGTACCGCAGCCCCTAGCCTTTCAAAATGAGACCTGACTACACTGCCAGGTGGACAAGCCACTAAGCCAGCTTTGCACACAAAGGCCTGACTGAGAAAGGTGCAGCCTCCCCACCTTCCCCAGGCTGGATGCCTGCTCATGGTGACAACCTTATGTGATCAGCTGTCCAAGCCACCCAATCAATTTTGCAACAATTTAATAAAAACCAGGAAGAATGCTTCATTCTTTCTAAAGCCAGCAGCACAGACCAAAAGTGATGCTAGCCCAAACAGAACATCTTAATTAAAACATCTTACCTGACTTGATTCCTTTGATGGGGTAAGTGGCGTGGGCAAGGAAGTTGGGATCACTGAACATATCTTCCTCGTAGACCACAAAGCGCAGAAACGCCAGGTTGGGGTCATAAATTTCAAAGGTCACTTTGTCCTGTGTTGGAGCCCAAACAGGGCTTAGGCCATTGTCATCTGGAAGGAGATCAAGGCTCAGCAGAGGCTCCACTGGTCCTACCCCCTCCTGGTAAAACCACCTCTCTTAGCCCTTGGCTTTTGGAATCTCCTTAGCAGCCCCATAAATATGCATCAAGGCCGAGATCTAAGAAATACTTATTTTTCCAGTAGCAGTCCTGGAAAAGCTGTTGTCACAGGTCTGGCCCTTAGTAAGCAGAGAAAATGCTATGGTTGCCATCTCGGTTCCCGGGGCTAGGGCCGGGCTGGGAAAGCGGGGTGCACGGAGGTTTGGAAGAGATCAGAGCAGGGAGCTATACCGCTCCTCTGGACAGGGAAGTGGGTCTGGCTCTCTGAAGAGGTAGAATGGATGAGGGTTCTGGGGTTGTTGGGGTGAACCAGCCTCACGGAGCAAGGGCAACAGCCGCCCGCCCCCCCGCCCCTGTGAAATGCCAGTTTCACTGGTACACACGGGAGTCATGCACCAGGCTGCCTCTTAGCAGGGGCAGTGTTCCCAGGCCTTAAAACATGGACTGTTTCTTCCTAGCTGCAGGATCTCCCTCCCCTCGGAGGGATAAAATCGCGCAAGTTAGGCAGCAGCCTGGGGGGTCAGCCACACCCTCTGTGTCTCTGCTGCCTCGCCTTGGACACGGTAGATGAAGCAGGAGGGGGGGGGCCAAAGAGGACCCCCCCACCCTGGCTTCCTACCACAGGGGGCTGGCCCAGGACTCCCGATGTGAGTGACAGCAAAGAGCAGCCCTGGGTACCCGTCCAACTAGTTAATCATGGGGTCTTGTGTTTCCCTCCTCCCCGAGCTGAACTGTAACAAGCATGAGGGGTGAAGGAAAAGCCCCGGACGATAAAAGTACACAGAATCCCCCAGAGGATGCAACTTACTCACAACTGTTGTCTTAAACTTGTTGTTGTCATATTCAGCTCCACATATTTCCACCTCCACAAAGGGACACGCAATACTTCGTCCAAGTTTGGGGAGATGGCGAGCCCCGAGAACCTAGGACACCAAAGGTAAGTACTGGCATTCTCCCCAATGCAGCTTAGAGCTCAGTCTGGGTGCTCGAGTCAGAGCACAGGAGGTCCAAGTCGGCCTGACAGCCCTCTGTGGGGACCACCCAACTGCTTCCCTTTTATGGATGGGGAAATAGGGCTGGAGAAGCCAGGATCGGAACCCTGATGCCTCCACACTTATAGACGTCCCCTGCGCACAGACAACCTCCAGAGACAGCCCAGGAAAGGACAGAGGAGAAAGTGGTATTTTTTTTCTTCCTTATATGAGAAATATGATTCAAATCTCTACCTTGCATGGTTTCCAAAAGAGGAGAAAGCTGAACTCTTACAAAGAGACAATACATTGTCTGAAAGTTGGATGCATTTTTAACAATTTTCACCCCCTAAAACTGGCCACCCTGGGGTGCCCTGTATTTCAAATCCTGAAACAGTGACTGGGTGTTGATGGTTTCAACAAGCTGACATGTGTCATGAGGCGGAGGCCTGAGTTACCTTGACGGACAGAGTCATCAGGATCTTCCTCTGGGACTCTGGTGGCATGGGGTCGTACTTCTCGGACCTCATGCTCTCAGGCTGGAGGACGTAGCCCGTCCGCCCGTTGAGTGAGAACAAGGCGTGATTCATCTGCATGTACTTGTCTGGGAAGGAAAGGGAACTGCAGCTGTAAGAAAAGGTAGCCTCTTGGGCCGGCGGTGCTAGGTGGGGGAGGGGGGGTGATTTAAACCTGTTTCCAAAAATAATTTCAGGCAGTTGTTAAATTATGCGTTTCAAAAAAAAAAACCCAACTGGTGAACACCATTCTAAGTATGACACTAAAACCTACTCAATGCTCAAAATTTCTTAAATTTTTTTTCTGAGAGTTAATTTTAAAATTTCACTTAAGATAGGCTGCACAAAAAAAAAAAAAAGTTTTAACTCAAACGACAGGGAAAGATCCACAAACGAAAGCGTTCTGATGATGTTGCTATAAATACCTCCGCTCCGTTAGCGAGATGCAGTAAGAAGCATGAACCGTTTGCAGAAAAGAAAATGCTTCCTAAATACATGGGAAACTGGTTCACTTACTCATAAGGGAAGTCACTGCTGGAAAGGTATATTCGAACGTTTTCCCACTTGGCATTCCCACCCAAGGTCTCTCTGGAAGGCAGTGTGGTGAGGCCTCGGAGCTCAGGCACGACGGGTGCAGGTGTCCAGTGGGTCACCTCAGGAAGTTGGCCCAAATGCCAGTGCGGTAGGACTGAGCCTGCACTCTGAGCTCTCGGTCCCGCCCCTGGCCTCCCCCACCCGTGAAGCGGTGCTCATGTAAGCTTACAGAGGGCAGGGCCGTCCGTAAGAGCAAACGAGAGAAGCGCCTCGGTGGGGGAGACCTGTTAAATAGATTAGGGTTCCACTCAATGGAATCCTGCACAGGCTTTAAAAGAACATAAAGGAGATTATTGATGCACAGACCCATCAACCAAAGAGCACAGCACTGTGATTTATGCTGCTACCACTGGTGTCAAAAAGTTTTGCATGTGGGCTTTTCTCAGCAATGAACATCTCCGGAAGAGTCTGTGCATGAAGCCCTCAAAGAAGGATGGGCCAGGAGAAGAGCTCCCTGAAGACAGCCACCAAACACCTGGATCCAGCTGTGCCTGAAGCTCAGTGCCAACTCCTGGACTTTTTCACTACATGAGCTCAAGTGCTTCCTTTCTCCCATAGCCACCCTGCAACGTGTTGGTCACCTGCCATCGCAGAGCCTGACAGATGCAAATGCCCCATGTCCCGCCATCACTCCGTTCAACGGCTGGGCCTCATACCAGCATGCTGGGTGAAACCTGACGGCTTCTGGGACAGCCGGTCACACTGGTGGCCCCAGCAGACTGGGCCTGGAGCGATGCCACCAACAGTGCTCCTGTACCTGGAGTCTGGAAATTGAGTGCCACCATCTGGGACCCGCACAGCCAGAGGCGAAAGGGGTCGTAGTTGGAGGAGTCCACCCTCTGTCCCTTTGGGTAAACACGGGTCAGGCCCTTCTGATTGTATTTCAGGAGGTCGATGGGTTTCTGCCTGACGACACCGTCCGCCTTGGTCTCCACAAAGGAGCGGATTTCTCGGAAGTCGGGGTTTTCTGCACACAGAGAGGGAGACACCATTTACTCCATCTGATGCACTTTCGTAAGGCTTGCTGCCCCCGCTGGATGCGCAGGTGGTCAGCTGAAACCAGGAACCTCAGAGCCAAGAGAGCCCAGTGGTTAGGATGCTCTTGCCATAACCAGTACGGCTCTGGGCCCTTGCCCTCCGAGGATCCCAGCATGCCCACTGGCTTTCACTCTGGGATCAGTGTAATTTACTTCTTGTTTAAAACCACCACCAGGCTTGTGCCCGAAAACACCAGAGTGGTACAGTTACAGAAGGGGACACGGTGGAGGATGGCCGGAGGGATCAGCAGGAGGAGGGGATCCTGTGCAGAAGATGGGTGAACCAGGCACCACGGGGGAGGAACAGTCCACTGCCTGCAGGCAGGGGTGGGAGCAGAGCGGGTACAAGAACGTGCACCTGTGGCGGGCGGCCCCTAACCCTGCTGAGTCCGGTTCTGAGGGACCCGCCGCCCAGTAACTAGGCTTCAGTGCTGTTTCTCTGGTCCTCCGTCCTGGAATCAGAGATGCTTGAGATCAAAGGGGGAGGCAAAGATGAACAGGATCTTATTAGGGCAAAGAACTTGCTCCTTTGGAGATTGGAGAAGATTCATTTTAGAATCCTTCTGTGGCAAGCTCCATGGCCCCCAAAGCCTCGAGGTCCTGCTTCCCGGAGCCTGTGACTGTAACTCATCTGGCAAAGGGACTTTGCGGATCGGATTAAATTAAGGAGCCTGAAAGGGGGAGATTATCTGGGCCCTAAAGGTAGGGTCTGTGTATTAGAGAGGTAGAGGGAGATGTGACCGCAGGCCAGGGCATGCCGGCAGCCACTAGAAGAAGCAAGGCCCGGATTCTCTTCCTCCTGAAGACCCCAGAAGGGCCCGTTTCAGCTGCACACTTGCCCTAAGGACAAGCTCCACTTAGAGCCGTGGAAAAGAAACAGGAGTCTCTCATTTTGCTCTCTGACAGCCCCTGACTCCAAAGGAAACCAGGCTTTGCAGGGAATGTTTGGGGCACAGCCCAGGGAGACCATACCTAGATTGTCCTTGGTCTTGCTGGTCGGCTTGCAGTAGACCACCAGGTCCGAGAGCTCGATGGCGATGGACTGGTTCTTCTCCCAGTACTTCATGTTGTTCTCCTGTTGGAGCCAGCCCCCAGTGTCAGCCCTGAGACTGGCCTGCATTTTCCTCCCCGGGACCCCCCCCCCCTTTTGGCCCCCTGCAGGCTCAGATCCTTAATACAGTTGGAAGTGGTCCTTTGTCCTACCCCTCCTCTCCTCCCTTCCGAAATTCCTACGTTGTTTCCACCCAGAACTGGGGGCTAGCTGGGTCCCTGGGCATGGCTCCCAAGAACAGGGGTGGGGCTGAGGGTCCCCTTTGTCAGCACCCCACTCTCCTCAACCCTCTGCTCTCAGACTCCTGCCCCACCCAGTCCCCTAAAACCACATTGTTAGAGTTCTCCAAGCCCACGACCTCCCAGCCTCGTGGGCGCTGCACATCCTTGTTTGAGCCCCCTCATTGCTGCAGGGCGCCTCTGCCCTCACCCATCACAGCTTGTGACGAAAGCTCTCCAGGCCCTCAGCCCCATGCCATTTCCCCTTGGAGGACACACTATGTGATCGATCTCCATCTGTATAAGGATGAGTGCTTGCTTCCCCCTAAACCAGACCACCGTCTCAGGTTTCCCCAAATTCTGCCTCTTTCTTCCCCTGGCCAAGGGGGAGCCTGGAGAGAAAATTACGTGCAAATGATACCCTTCACCATTTCCAGGGCTGCTTAGCCTCAGGCCTCACACACTACGTGTGTGATGGATATTACGTAGGGTAGCCCCCATCTCCCCTCAGAGGTAGAATGTGTGCCCATTTTGCAAAGAAACTGCAGTACAGAGGCTGAGCAGTGTATCCATGCTCCACGGCAGGCCAGGGACGAGACCAGATGCTTCTGCACTGGACCTCACCCTTGTTAGCACCTTGCTTTGTCCTTTATACATCATCTCCTGGAGAAGATTCCTCTAAAATGCCCCCAAGATCACATCCTGGGTCCCTCTGAACCACAGCAATGACCTCCTGCTCTCACACTGTACACACCCCCCAAATCATCCTTCCTCTGCCAGTCCATGAGCTCACTCCTGCTTCTGGGCTCTACCCAAATCACTCCTGCTCCAGGAAGCCTTCCTGGTTAACTCCAGCCAGGACTAGGAAAGGAATGGGGCCATGCACCACTCATGCCTAAAGCTGTCCCCACGGAGCCATGTGCAGGTATCAAGTGTTCAGGGGGACAGCTGGTGATTAGGTGAGAGAGGCTTCCTAACAGGTGGTTAGGACAGCAGGAACTCGAATCAGACATCAGCTCAAACGCTGGCCCTCTGTTTACTGGGTGTGCCCACTGGCCACATTGAATAATCTCTCTGTGCTTCAGTTTCCACAACTAGAAAATGAGGCTAACTGGAGTATCCCCCTCCTAGAGCCACTGAGATGTAAGCAGGGAGCCCGCTGCACCCTACCAGGTGTGTGGAAGACCACAAATGGTGGCCCCTCAGACCACCCCACACCTGCCTCCCCTAAGGACAAGAGAATTGCATACAACAGGGTGGTGGGACATGTCCCACCACTGCTGAATTGTGGAAATTTGGCCTCACAAAGCGCAGAGCTGTGACAAGTCATAGGGTGCCCCCCCTTTTTTCCCCAACCTCAGCAGAAACCAATGTCTGTTCAAGATGAAAGAGCTCTTCCTCGAAATTGGGTTAACAGTTACTCTCCGGACCCGTAGGTTTAACCCAATGGGCTGTCTCAGAAGTTGAAGTCACAACCCCCTTCACGGGCCAGGCTTTAGGAAACTCACGAGACAGATCTTGGTGACTGGTCTTTTGCCCTCCATGGTCAAGTCACAGAGCCCCAAGCAGGGGGTCGGGGACAGACAGGACGATAAGGCCAGGGCCAGGAGCTGGCAGTGAGCTGGGTGTTCATCGTGTTGGTTTCCTCAGGACTGGGGGGCGGGGGGGGGGAGCTCTTCCCTGTTCCCACACAGCTCCTTGTACAGCTGGTGCTGCCCAGGGGCGGGATTTGGAATTAGGCGGGTTCTGCTGACCGGTGTTTTCTTAACCTTCACACGTAATAATGAGAATTAGCAGACGTAAAAACCAATTAGAGGAGGAATGTAGATCAGAAGCAGAGAAGCCATGAAGAGCCAGGCTTGATTTCAGAACCCTTCCTGCGGGGGCGAAGAGCCTTCCAGTGAAGTTGCATTTCTCTCTGGTAAGAGCGGTGGTAAGCGCTATGCGGGGTCAGACAGACCCCAAATGATCACTCTACCCTGAGCCTTCTGGAGGTTCAAACTAGCCATAGCCTCTCAGGGGACCGCCAGGGTCCCTTTCCTCTCCATGACCGGCACGCCTACGGCCCAACCCCAGTCCATGTCTTCCCTGTCCTCCCGAGCCAGGACCCCAGCCCCCCACCTCTGCAGCATGAGCCCAGCTGAGCCAAGTGCCCACCTTGGTGTCCATCTTCCAGGTGATCTCCCGGATGCTCTGAAACCACTCGAAGAGCTCTTCCACCTTGTCCGTGGCAAACTCCACTGGGGGGTCGCCCTGCTTCTTGGGCTCCAGGATAAACACGAACGGCTTCTGGTTTTTCCCCTGGGGTGCTTTCACTTTGGGAGAGAGAACAGTGAAAGTCCTGAGTGGCCTGGATGTGAAGGCCAGACTTCACGCCGCCCCAGCCATGTCCTGCACAAAACCAGCCCAAATGCAGCAGCTACAGGCCTGGTCCGTGGGGACGGGGGCGTCTGCCTTGTGGTAGGCACGGTCTGGCCTCTCCCCTACCTCACAGCCTGAGAGTGGGCCGAGTTGTGTTCCCTCGGAAGTTCTGTCTGCAGCCTAACGCCCGTACCTCTGCAGGTGACCTTACTTGGAAAGAGGATCCTTGCAGATGTCCTTAAGGATCTTGAGAGGAGATCCTTCTGGATTTAGGATTTCCCAATCCAGAGAAAGGAGAGGGAAATTTGAGACACAGACACAAGAAAGACGGCCCCCAAAGACAGAGGCAAACATTGGAGTGTTGGAACCACAAGCCCAGGAGCGCCAAGGATCTCCAGCAGGCACCAGAAGCTAGGAGACAGGCAGGCGATAGATTCTCTCTGCAGAGAAATTATTTTCTAGAAAGAAAAGGCCACGGGAGGAGAAATTACGTGCTCAGTAATATCATTGGTTAAGGTCTCTGAGCTCTTGTAGGCCAGGCAATATTTTAAGCAGATCACATGCACCGGATCTCATTTAACCCCTATCACAACCTTTTAGGGGTACTAATCGTTTTATATGCATGTTACAGGCGAGGGAACAGACTCACTGACGGCAGCCCCCTCCCTGCCTGGGGCGCTTCCAATGCCCAGCGGTGGGGGACGTGGGTGTGAATCCACGCTCCGCCCACGTGTGTACGTACCGACATTGTAAGTGTTGAGATCCAATATTCCCCTACAAAGAGACCCTAAGGGATTGTCTTCAATAATCTGTGAAGAAACAAGACATAACTCACGTTAGTCTTAACAGGAAGAATAAAAAGACAACCAGTTTTCCAGGGCACACCGTTTAGCCGAGACACAGCCTGTGGAGCTGTTTAAAATGCATTTTCATTACAGGATACATCCGTGGGGAGAGCGCTCAATAACGAAGCGTGTTGCTGATGGGGACCCAGCGGCGAGCAGGTGCCCACAGGTTCAGCGGTTCATTTTCCAGTCTGTAAAAATGAGCCCTGTGAATTCTAGAACAGGTTCTGAAACACTTCCCATGGATCTGGTTTCAAAAAATAGCCTCGACCTTCATGAAAGGGGGCCAGCTAGCCTCCTGAAGCCCAGCTCAAGAACCTTCTGTGGCTCCCCATGTCCTAGGGGCATGATGCCTGTCCTAGGGGCATGATGCCCATGCTCTGGGATCGGCCCTGGCCAGCCTTCCCGCCGCACCTGCCACTGCACGTTTGATGCATCCCAGGGCCCGGGTGCGACAGAGAAGATCTTGCTCTCTGGCCAGCTGGGAGAACCACATCTGCTCATTGCGTGTACTACCCCACCCCCACCCCCACCCCTCCACCAGGGAAATGCTGGCTGGGGAGGGGGGTTGAGGGGTCGCATCCCTGCCTCTGGCCCAGCACGCTGAACACAGCCACGGTCCCAGCCCCACACCTTTGTTTCGGCTGCACCTCGCACTGGAATTTTGCCAGCCTTGCTGGTGATCTCTAACTTGACTTCTAAGGCTCAAATGTCCATTACTCCATGCAGTCTTCCCAGATTGCCCCAACTCCCCTAGGAAATGCCTTGGGCTCAAAAAGGCCTTAGAGTCCTCGTTACAGAGAGTCCGTCCTTGGTGCAGGGGGTCACCTACCCGCGGGTGCTCTCTGGGCCTTCTGGGCGAGAGGCAGCGAGGGGACCCAAACCATGTTTGCAATGTCACCAGGAGGGCCGCATTCACCGCCACTTAGGCCCGCCCTGCTTACGCACACCAAGCACGTTCGGGAATGTCTGGTGGCCACACTCAACTTGTTTCAGTTGCAAGCTGCTTTAAGCAAAGGACAGATTCCCCATTTGGCCATTTTCACTCCAGAGGAAATTCTCCTGCCTACGCAAAGCCTTCCAGCCCAGCACAACCTGATTAAAACATGACGGGCTTGTCACCGTGACCTTCACCCACAACTGTGGGGACAATCCCAATTTCCCTGTCACGCTGGTGTCCCTGTTCCGCTGCTCCACAGGGACCCCACGGCAGCAGCATGTGCGACACAGCCCAGCAGTTTCCTCGAAGAACAGGATGGGCAGGTCTCCCCATGCGGTGACCCGGACTCACCTGCTTCTCCAGCACCTCCACATCGACTGTTGAAATGTCCTCGACGTAATTGGATGGGAAGTACTGCTGGATTCTGGTCCCATAGTCGCCTTTCCACCTAGATGAAAACAGAGGGCATCCAAAGGCCTTCGTGGGGCCGCATTACTGATCCCTCGCCGCTGGTTAGATCCCAGCCGCTGCGGCGGGGGGCGGAGGGGGGAGGCAGCAAGTGGCCAAGTGACCGAAGGGGGTGATCATTATCTGTGACAACCAAGCACTTCCAAGGATCCTCTGCTTTTTTTAACCAGCAATGCGTGAGTGGAGGGTCGGTGTCCTCCCCATAACACGATTCTAATGTTTAGTCAAGGACACCAAGAATTTCAATGCTTTAGGTGGACATCGGCGGCCATTTGAGGCAAAAGCTCAAGTCTAGAGCAGGCTCAACCCCATTTCAAGGAGGGCAGTGAACTTAGAGCTAAGGAAGGTTCTGGAGATAGACAGCCTGCAATCAAATTCCAGCTCCGCCACCAACTGTAAAATGGGAATAATCCCAGTGCCTCCCTCAGAGAACTGTATTGGGACCAGAGGATTCCGCATATGCTGAGTGTTTTTAACGGTGCCCAGTATACAGTAAGCGCTCAAATAATGTTCTCATTACTCAGCTAAAATACCGCTCCCCTTGACCTTCTTCTCTTCCCTGTGACAGCACTGGTAACAAGAGACACAACTGATCTATGTACATGTCTCAACTCCACCAAGCCGTGGTCACCTCTAAGGTTCTCCCCACAAGCAGCGCCCAGGCACACGGGGCCACTCCCCCCAACTGCCCCCCTTTGGGTACCGTCTGCAGCCAGGGGGCTCTTTCCAGAAAGTATGTCTGACCACGCCACACCCATAGCTCCCAGAGTCTTCAGAATCAAGCGTAGATGCTTTAGCCTGACCCCACGGACTCTTGGACCTTAACACCTGCCCCTCTGCGACTCAAGCTTGACCCTCCTCCTAGACAGCCTGTTGCCCCCACCCTTCTGCCCCTGCCGTGCTGCCTAGCTTCCATGCCTTTGTCCATGCCCTTTGTATCTAGCTTGTCCCTACTAACCAGCTGAGACTCAGCTCAGGCATGCCTCTTCCAGGGAGTCTTCCCTGACTGCTACCTAGACCAAGTGTTCCTCCTCTGTGCCCCTGTGGCATCTGTCCCCACAGCTGGGAAGGCAGTCTGCCTTTTATATAACTTCTACCTCTGTCTTCCCCACTGTGTGAGGCCTTTTCTTGATCTTAATCGAATCAGTCCTCAGGGGTGGTGGGAAGCACTTAGTAAATGTTTGCTGACCTGAGTAAGCAGAGTGAGGACCGACTGACCTGTGGCCTGGTGGAAAGAGAGGCCTGGCAGACATCCTCATCCCCTCCGTTTCTCCAGACCCCTTTCAGGCAAAGACTGGCTATATCCATGGTGACCATATGTACCATTTGCCCAGAATTAACTTCATACCTGTTGTCCAGGTGTAATTACTGACAGTCACATTCCTTTTGCTCTAAAATGCATCCCGGTTTGGACAAGACCAATTCAGTGCCCTAACCATACGGGCAGCAGGTTGGGAGGACGCCCAAAAAGGTGGACGATGCTCCACTAGATGGTGCTGTTGCCACCAAAGCGAAAGAAACCAGGGGACCTGGGCAGGCAGTTCACCCACAGCCCCTCACCAAAGGCACTTACACCAGACTCTCAGCTCATCTCAAGAGCCCTGGAAATTTAAAGCACCCCACTTCAGACGTGTGGAAAGGCAGGAGGCAGTTCCACACGTGGAAAAGTGTGCTTTAAAGAGGTCTACCCACAACTTGGTAAAAGTCACCCACACACACAGCACTGGGGCCTCGACAGAGGCAGGGTACAGGACGGGGCATCGTGGGTCCAGGGGACACCCGAATTCTGGCCGTGCCCCTCAGGGAGAGACAGGTGGACACCACCACCGTTGGCACGCTGAGGCTGGGAGCCTATGAGCAGGAGCTCCAGGCCCGCACCCCCAGCTTCAGCACATCACTCTGTTGTCACTTTTTCTCTTTTGACTCTGGGGATCCAGGTAAGATTTGGATTAGAAAGAGGGCATTCTCAAAAAAACAAATGAACAAACAAAAAACTTCAAAACCCCTGACCATGAGTCAAGTTAGGAGTATGGGCTTTGGAGTCAGAAGGTCTGGCTTCGAATCCCAGCCTGCTGGATGGCCCTGGCCAAGTTACTGTACCTGTCTGTGCCTCAGTCTCCTCATCTGTAAAATGCAGGTAACCTTTCAGGGTCACTGTGTGGGTTTAAGTGAGTTCTTTCAGATGAAGTTTTTAAAATGGTTCGTTTTTTTTTTTTTTTTTAAGGTTTTATTTATTTGACAGAGAGAAAGACAGCCAGAGAGGGAACACAAGCAGGGGGAGTGGGAGAGGGAGAAGCAGG